AATACAAAACCAGGACAAATGCGAACTGGAAAGACAACCTAGATCAAGAACCCGGTAGCAATATTCTCAGGGATACATGGCCACTAAGCGACAGCCCTTTACCGGGCGCCAAAATACCAGGAACAGATCTCCAATGATAGGAAACCTGCAAAAAAGGAGTAAATGGCCATTTTCCCTGGAAAAGGGAACCGGGGAACTTGATGTCTAAAGACCCATTGCTGATGGACCCAAAAACTAAATAAGCTGTGGTTACTCACAAAAGCTGACTACGATTCTTGACTTCCTGACTATTCAACCCTCATCGTTGTAGGTGGTGATTCTGATTCCAGAGTGGACAATTACCCCTTTTCTTCCCAGCCTAGGAAAGGATATCACAACGCCATAGCTGCTCCACAAGCCGGTCAACAGTGCTGCTGCTGATTGCCTTGCAGTGCTGAAGATTCAAGCCCAGAAGGGTCTGACCCATTTTTACCAAAGCAGGCAAGCTTTTGTCTGACACTAAAGGGCACCCTGACATGGCGAGGATCTGCAGATTTAGCTGGTCTGCACAGGCCAGGGATGCAATTCCAAAATCGGTGATTGCACACCTTGAGACGTCAAGGTCACTAAGCAATGGGCAGTTCCCTGCAATTGCTACCAAGCCTGCATCGCTGATCATCTTACAACCTTCAAGATTTACCATTTCCAGAGTCCAACCATGTAGCTTAGCCATGGATGAAACCATCTTGTCTGTTACATTCACACAACCACTAAGATTAACCTTTACCAGGCCAGCCTCACAGTTCTCAAGTAGTGGGAGAAACCCAGCATCCGTTATACCCTCAAGCCCACTGAAGTCCACATGCTGCAGTTGAGGGCAAAGTCTACCTAACAGTGCCAGGCCAGCATTCCCAAATCCAGGGCAGTTACGGATGGACAATGATCGAAGAGATTGGCATGGAGACACCTCAGGCAATCCTAAGTTCAGGTCTTTAAGTCCCAAGCAGTAGACAAATGCTACAGCCTTCAATTTTGCACCAGTTGAAAGAGCGCCAAAAAACCCATATTGGGTAATCCTGTGGCACTCCTCCAAATGAAGGCTCTCAAGCGATCCTGCTGCTTTGCAAAATGATACCAACCCACTGTCAGAAATGAATAGACATTTGCGAACCGGTATCTGTTACACCTTGACAAGATGTAACAGTGAAGGACTTCAACTTCTGCAGCCCATGACCATTGCCCATGACCCAGAAACCCTTCTCAGTCACATTGGGGACGCTGGTAAGGACAAGATCGGTGATAGCCTTGCCATAGTGTCCAATGACAGCGAGAGACACATCAGTGATGGTCAACGACTGAAGCTTCACCTTTGTCAAGACATAAGAGACCGAAGATAACAAACTAGCAATTCCCTGATCCCCAACAAGAGGGCAGTTTTTGATTGAAATGGATTTGAGATTGGGGCAGCACTGCCCAATAGCTTGAAGACCTTCATTCCCAATGTTAGAACAGGATTCAAGTGATAAGTCAGTCAAATTAGGACACTTCTTTGCAATTGCAACCAAACCTTTATCAGATATTGCAGGACATTGGGAGAGGTCAAGCTTCTCTAACATATGACACCGATTAGCAATCTCACACAAGCCTTCATCCCCAATAGAGGACACGTTCCACAAAGAAAGAACCCTCAGAGAAGGACAGCCATGGGATATTGCCCTAAGGCCAAGGTTTGTCACCCCACGACCAGAATTGCTTCCTCGGATTGTAAGTTTTCCCAATCCTCCTCGACTAGCAGTTCCAACGGCAATGGCAGCTAGTCTAACATCTGTTGCCTTCTTCCCTTCCAAGCTCCTGGAAAGATATCCACAACTCTCAACCTCCTGATCCTTATTTCCAGTGACCTCATCCTGAGGGTTCAAAGATAGGTCGTTTGTGTTGCTGCAGAATTCGTCCCTATGGATATTACTTAAAAGTGTAAGCCAGTGCTTGGAAACACAAGCACAGGCACTCCTTTCCTCACCTCCAGGTAACCGTTTAAAGATTTCAAAGAGGCATTCATCTGGTAGAACATCAATAGACACCGGCTTCTTCTGCTCGAAACCTTCTTCGCTGAAAACAAATGTACCACTGATGCGAGACCTCTTGCGAGGAGTAAAAAAGACATCCGCATGATTACCAAGGGACAAAAAGAGGCTAGGTTCTTTGGGGTTTGTATAAATTGACCCCCCAGGGCAAAAATCATCATTACCTGTTAACCAAGAACATAATATTAGCATTCATAATATGTTACAAGGCAGGCAGGTAACTGCAAGTAGCGTCAGTTATCTAACATGATACAAATCCCTATATACAGTTTTGCAGTAAACTAACCAAGATCCAATCCAATACATATGCATAGAACATCAAACGAGAAAAAAATAATTCAAAATTAGACTTTCATTCAAAGCAATAAGCTATTCATATTAAAGATCTCAGATCAGATCCATGACGCGTTAATTTAACTTATCCAAAGCAATAAATTTCACCCAAAAAAGGAAAAGATTAATCCTAAAATTAAATACATGAACGAGAAGGCACATCCCATCTCAAGGTTTCAAACGTACAACTATTTTACTTAAGCCTTCAAGAGGATCCATGACCAATAACAGTTAAATTATCATTTCAAAAATGAAACTGAAATCAGAACTCGTACTCTGAATCATGTATGCACGAATTTCACAACAAAACTAGAAAACCCGACTAATCAACAAGCTAGATCATGTCAAGTCACAAAATTTCATCTCTGATTTACAACTATTTAAGGTAAACAGCCTTGAAACCACAAATTTCAAACAAACCCCCAAATATGGTAAGTCAACAATCTTGAAACTTAACACGTAAACATGAAAAAGCTGAAAGCTTACCAGGTAAACCAAGGAGCTTTGACATGGGTACAGCTCAAAAAACCCCAGGAGGTCGAACCCGCAAAGCTTTCCACCGAAAAACCCTCGAAAGAGAGCAAAAAAGAGAGACCCAGAAAAGATTAAGGCTACAACAACGGCGTATAGTGCTTGGATGCAGTGATGCATGAGAGATTGGAGCTTACAAGGACATGAAAACCCTATCAGATAGGGCAAAAAGGAAAGCGAGACACAGAGAGAGAGAGGAGGTGAGGGAAGAGAGAAATGAAGGGTGCGTATTGGTCAGCTAGGAGATTTTATTGTGAATGGGAGGTTTCGGTACTTGACCATACACGCAATGAAAACTCACATGCAGTGTATTTGGGCAATGAAAGTGGGTTTCTTTGTAATATTCTTCCACCCACCCAATGAATACCAGAAACCGCAACCTGCTTTTTTTACGTTTGGTTTTGGTATTTGGTTTGCTTAGTGGGGCTGTTTGGACACAAGGTTATGGTGTGGTGCTGTTTGGTTTGGATTTGATGTGGAAATATCCCTCTCTATGGTAGAAGTCTTGGTTTAACAGGATAACGAAGCTTTCTTATTGGAATAAGCTTAATATAAAACACTTTTTGGATGCTTAGAAGTAGGAAGATTTCTAAGAATTCTATTCAAGACTAAAATTGATAAACAAGACTGAAATTGTTCTAATATATATATATATATATATATATATTAAAAAAAGAGACTTAATTTATTTGATTGCCTATTATGTTAGATTTATTTTTAAATATGAATTTCTTACTTATTTTGTGTTGGGGTGAATGTAGTCCGGTTTTATGCTGTTCGATTTCCTCTTATGTTAAATTTAGTCAAAGTTATGTAACCTTTTACTTGTTTTGGATAGATGCGGACGCGGTCCAGCTTGGTACGCTTTGATTTCCTTTTATGTTAGATTTATTCAATAATACATATATTTTACGCGTAAAGGTGGACCCGACCTGGCCTTGTTAGGTCACAAACCAAACACTCAGCCAAATCAATTCATTTATTGACCAGTTTGGTAGTTATTTCCCTTTATACGAAACTAATAAATTGTTTTATTATCTCTTATATATATATATATTGAAGTGAAAGTTATACACTTGTACAATAGTTGAGAAAACTTCTTACCATTGAAAATGAAAGAATTTTGAGAGAGAGAACATCAAATTTGAATAAGTTAGGGTTTTAAGTTGTTGATAGCAATATGTTGGATGAAACATAATAGTAAAGATGTCAATCAATAATAAAATGTCAAGTGATATATATAGAGGTGGTTTGGCACGATTTAGCGATCTCCAAATAGACCAAACATAACCAAATTAATTATAATTTGGTTGGGTTTGGTCCAAGAGTAATTTTTATAGCGAATTGGTTTTATTTTATTGTGATTGGCTTGAAAGGTTTCTTGTCTGCCATGAGTTGTGATTACTGAGTTTAGGATAAACTTAACTTTGTAATTATAAATCGAAAGAAACTAAGTACAACAACCCTTAAGACCATCAAGAAAAATACACAACCATTATTAAATTAATTACAAGTTACAGCCGCCCTTAAATTTGTGACGGTAGAAATTCAAAACTATCGTTTAGAGTCAACCAAGTACGTACCCTCTGCATCATAACAAGGGAACAATGAATTGAAATCTATAGTGTTGTTTGAAAATTGGACTGAAAATGACATATGGTATGTTTATTTTGTCAGTCATATCAAATACATTGAATCACATTACTTTGACAAAGAAGATGAAAAAGAAATGTGAATTCCCCCTCCCATTCCTTGAACCATCCAATTAGTAGATCAGATTAATTTAAATGCTTAATTAATCACAACTTGCAGATTTCCAACTTGGAAACTTCCCAAGAGGCAGAGTCCGAAATTAGAAATAATTAAGTAATTTCACTTGCCCAGCCCATCAAGTTGAAATTATTCTATTCAATTCACAAATGGGAAATTAAAATCCAGCTGTGGATCGAATCATCCATGCCCTACAATTGATTATAGCCACTCATATGATCAATCAATGCGCGGCTATCATAATTGGCAAAACAGGGCAAGTGGGTTGGCTGAATTAGAAAGAGAATTGTAGAGCTCCAAGAATTTCCTGGTCCTTGGATTGGGGGGCCAACTAACCTACAATTGCAGGGTACTCTTTCTTACTTGGTAGGGTACCTCCTCCAAGGTAAACAAATGCTAATTAACAATATGTTATCACCAGTTGGAAAAGCCATCTCATTCTCATGGGATCCAGATCCAAGCGTAGTATAGAAGAATGATTATGGTAGCGATAATTACGCGAAGCTAAGCTAACTTAATCTTATAACGCAACTGGGCCGGTGCCACTAGTTATTTATATTAGTTACCTTCAAATTTAAATATAAAAAACGAGGCTCACTGATTCTTCGCCTTTCCCTATACGATTCTCTTTTGACCCAACTTGCTCTTGCTGTTTGCCAGTCAATTGTTTTCTCTTTTCTCTTTTGCCACATGAACAAAGGCTATTACATTCCCTAATGTCTGTTTTAAGGGAAGGTTAAGGAAAGAAGATTAATTCTAATGTTTTCTGATTCACATTTTGATACCCACCCACCACAAGAACACTTTCAGCATTCTCTCTCTCTCTCTCTCTCTCTCTCTCTCTCTCTCTAGATTTTATAATGTATCCTACTCAAGCAATTTGGAAGAACATCATAACATGCGTACCTGCTATGTTTGACCATATTCCAATTCATCCAAGGCTAATTAATCGCTATTCTTAATCCCAATTGGATATATAATTAAGCAACTAAATCTAGCAACTTGAATTATAATATAATTAGTCCCACGCAGAGCCAGAGGCCCAAGTAATAAGCACTGGGATGCTTTCTATAAGTGTATAATTAAATTATGCAGGTGCAGATCATTAGCCAGCTGAAGCTAATTAATTAGCATGCAACCTCTCTGGCTTAGTGGCTGAGCTCTCCATGAGATATGTTTTGTTTTCTTCTTTCCATTGGTTAGGGATATGGATTTGGATCCTCTCAATGAAGAAAGCATCCAAATTCCATGATTCTTTGGAATATATTTTCCAGCTAAAAAACGTTAAATAAGCTGCAGGGCAAGGACTCCTCCTGGAAAATAAAAAGAAAATCCAATGGAAGACATCCCCTGATTAACCTATAAGATCTTGTGAAGGATCATGCCAAGTTGCCAACCCACTCTTTTTCTTCTTCTTTATTAATAAAAAATAATCCTTACAACCACCCGATTATCTTAAGCTAAAGCTCAAATGGGTACAATTACTTGCATCTCTAATGTAAACATAGACTTATTTATATTCGTGAGAGTTCGAACTTCTATGTTGGGCTCGAACTTAAAATATTTGAATTTACCCTAAATACCATTCAATATGTTGACGATTGACTTATTTATTCTTAAAGTTAACATGTAAATAACATATTTCACATTGGTTTAATATTTAACATTACTAAACTGTTAAATATTAATTTAGTTAGAAGCAAACCGCCACATTATAATTGATTCAGTAGTAATTCTAAAATAAAACTGATCCAATTCAGACCGTGTTCGCCACCATATTTGTGAATGTCAAATCGTTTTATTAAATAAATAAAAACCCTAGAACATGTATTATTGGGCTGGCCCATCTCATCTTAAAAGTTCAAATGGAGGTGGCCCACGTCCACTTTCAATGTTGGAAGAGGCGGGACAAAACATGGTGTTAAAATGTCAATGTCTGGTGCGTAGTAGGAGAGAAACAGGAAGAAGGCTGTGGGGCGGGGCTTGGTTTTTATAACACCATTACTTGGAAGCATACACACCAAAGGGGCATTCAAGGACTGCATTTACCCCAAAAAAGAAAAAGAAAAAAAGGGGACTGAATTTAAAAGGAGAAAGTAGGTTTCATACTTCACACATCCATTTTTGTTTATTATTTTATTCTCGAATAGGATTATTAAACGTGAAAAATGGGACATGCATGACATTGTATCTAGATTGATAATAAAATGTTAATCACATTAATCAAGTGCTGAGTTTTGTTTGACTTGGGTCCATTTGAGATGGCTCGCACCTTTTTTTTAATAAGCCGTCGTCTTCTACGGTTCATATTGAGTGGTTAGGTCTAATTCCGGTTTATATCGAATGATAAGTCTAATTCATGTCTGATTCATTTTGATTTGTTGTCATATCAAAACTAAATCTTCAGTTTTTAAAAAAGATCATTGATTACCAAACCATGATTGATTTTCAGATTTTAAAAAATTCCGTCAAATTTACGTCTTTGATAATTTTCAGATGTGTAAAATATGATTAAAGTATGACATTCTCCATCGCCTTTATTTCTTAGAGCACTTCCAGCAGTTTGCCCTTGCCATGACAAGGGGGAGGGCTAGGGCAGCTACTGTTCACGTAAATAGTGGCTGCCCTTGCAAAAAGCAATGTGTGTTTCCAGCAGTTGCCCTTTGCCATGACAAATACTATTCATTCATTTGTTTTTTTCACAACTTTTTTTACCTAAACAATTAATTTGGATAATATTTTCGGATAAGATTTTTGGGTTCCTACGTGTCAATTCTATTCATATCTCATAATCGGATAAAAATATTGAGTACAAAGCGAATAATAGTAGAAGGAGAAGAAAATGTATGAGGATTTGGTGTTGAAAATGAAGAGTATTGGTTGGTATTTATAGAAAAAAATTCAGTATTTTTTTTTTAAATTTTAATTTTTTTTTTATTGCACAAAAAGTGTCTGCCGTTGGATTGGAGGAAAAAATCTGATCGGAGAGCCCAGACACCGACATGTGGAAGCTAGCCATTGGTGGTACTGTATTGGGCATGTCAAATTTTTTTTAACATTCGTGCTGACGTCAGCGTGACATCAGGCCAACGCTTGAGCTCGCCTCGCCCTCGGGCTAGCCCAGTCTATTGGGTCCCACCATCTGCCCCGAGCCATTTTTTGTTGCTAGAAATGCGATTTTGCCCCAAACCAACCCCCCCCCAACACAACAAAAAAAAACAAAAAATCCCTCCCCTTGGTTGCACTGCTGAAAGTGCTCTTAGAGCAAGATGTTTGGCAAAGTGATCCATGACTTTGAAGTTCTTGGTATCATGGGCCGGATCATATCAAATTCTGATGAAATGATGAAGGTCGTGATGCCACCAAGAAAGCACTATGCTTTTGTGGATGAACTAATAATACATTGTCTTCTCTTCACAGAGAAATAATCAGTGCAGTATCCCAATTTTGACCCCAAAAAAAATAAGTTTGCCAATAGTTTTCATGTCTTGGTTTTCTTTTCCTTTTTGATTTTACTGGTTACTGGCTTTTTTCATCTCCAGGGTAATTAATCAGAAAAGCCAGGTGTATTTTTGGGCACTTAGCTCATAAAAAAGCTCAAATGTATCTAACATCGCAATTGATATGTAAGCAAGCATCAATATCAAAGATTTAAAGACTTGCGTAAATTTACAAAGCTGGGCAAGAAAAGCTAAAGAAAAGAAAGTTTTTCAGGCTTTGCTGGATCAATCGTACAAACCCTCTTGCTCCCATATATCAACAAGAAAATCGATCATTTCCTGTCATTTAAATTCAACAGTCAGAACCAAAGAGGTTGCAGAAGCAAATACCAGCAGAGGAAACAAGTGGAGCCAAGTCAACTTACAGGGAGAGGGATCGGCTGGCGAAACGGCTTGTTGGTACTAAGTAAACTCTCATAAGTGGCATTCCAACTACAAAACACAGTAGTTGGATCATTGGTATATATTATGGATGCTGGAAATGTGAAAAATGCTAATAGAACTGCAAGGGACAAAAACTTGCATAGGCTGTGTATCTAGTGCAATCCAAGGTGCAAACAAGAGAAAGCTAAAATCAAGTGAAAATTAGTAAATAGTTAAGTTGCTAAATCAGGGCACGTATTCCTACTCGAATGTAACATGCCCCTACGACGATTAAATACTTCTAGTATCATAGGCAATACAGAAATTCACCTTATTCTAGGTTCTCGAAGTTGCGTCTGGTGTTGAGACCTATTTGCAAGCCACTGACTCCTTGTCTGATTCCAGAGTAAAAGACCTGAACCCATTAAAATTTTCACCAGTTAAAAATTTAGTTTGCTAGAATAATTGGAATTAAAGGCATTGTCGAACAATGATTATGACTCTGGACGTAAGTTCAGCCAAAAAAGTTTCAGAAAAGCACCACAAAACCTATCATCACCCATTGCTTTCACTTTGCAGGTCTAAAAGATTACAAAAATTGATCAAATGACACAAACATCAACACCACACCAAACTTAAGTTTTCACAGATAAAACATTAAAATCAATAAAAACAATGAAGATAGGAAATAAAATGGTTATGTGAATCAAGCTTTCCTGAATATCCACCGTTGTCTTCTCTTTTGTTGTTGAAGACAAATAAAACATATATGGATAGCAGCCATACGGGAAAAACCCATAAAAAGTACAAGAAGCTACTCCCAGTTATATGTTTACTGTATTTAAGAGCATTTTCACATTTGAAAACAGTGGTAAAATTCTTGAGATGGATGAAACCATACAACCAACAGGTAGCTCTTTCTCTGACTACTTACCCAAAGCAAGGTTATCAGAACCACCTAGTCCCAAGATTGGCTGGGCCATATCTATCTGGCTATACCAAGGATTAAAATATCGGCCGTGCAAATAATATCGGGCCTCCAATTTACGGATATTTCGGGGGATATATCGTTATCGTTTTAGGTATCGGGAAAAAATCAACAAAAATGACAGATATAGGCATTGGAGCACATAATTTTGGTGTAAAACATTCATAGATGTTATGTACATTATCAAAGAATGTATTGAACAAATAAAACTCAAAATTTACTAATAATAAGATATACATAGGATGAAATATAAGTGGTATGTAATGTGCGTTAATGAAAATTTTGAAAATAAAATGTTAATTAGAATGAATAAACCATGAATAAATCCATAGTTTGTTTAAACATTGGATTACAATTTAGATAAGCGTCCATCTACATCAATGAAGAGCTCCTATGAGGTTCAAATAATGAGGAACAACCATCTAGATTCATACAATAGTCATACCAAGTCATGTAATCCGAGCAGTTTGTAAACCATGTTTGAACATGGGTCTTTCTTAAGACCCCTATTATCCTCCCATATATGGAATAGTTAGGATTAACCAACTAGTAGGTCCATAATCTGTTTTATCATCTTGAGCTCTATATCTAGTTCCACTAGAATCAGACATGATATAACCATAGCCATCATAAGATTCATTTGAGTACTAGGTCTAGTTCCTATGCTCATAGATCCAAACTGATCGCCGTGTTCCTCTTCAGATGGATTGGAGGTATGTGGGCAGTGGACTGTGCATAGATTCTTCATATTAATAAATTATAGGGTTCTGGACAAAGATTAGCTATTTTTGTGTTTCAATTTGCTTCAATTGCCTTCAAAACTTCTGAATTTTTTTTGGGTTCTATTATGGGTATCGGGAAATATCGGGGATATCTGCAAAATATCGGGGATATTGCACTTACCGGGGATATATCGTCGATACAGGAGAAGATATGGCCTTACCCCCTAGTATCGGTGTCGACGGTTGAAAATACCGATATATCGGCCGATATTTCAATCCTTGGGCTATACTAAATAAATTAGAATGAAGTAGGTGACTCAAACAACACAATATGACAAGGGCAAAATAAACATACAACATCAAAGACAGTTTCAATGAGTGACTAAAGGGCAAGTTCATACCAGAGAGAGAAATAGAGAGGTTATTTCATGTGACTTACCATGATTTACAAATTCAGGTGTATTGCTTGTGCTGCCAGAAGTACCATGGGAATCAACGAGGTTTGAAGTGCTGACCGACGAGATGCTTTTCTGGGACTGGACTCCACTGTTCTCCATTTCCATAGTGCTAGTGCTCCAGAAGTCCTCTGATATGCTATTTTTCCTCGCCGATCGACCTTGAATTCTCAGTCTGTTTGATGGCTCATCGACCGCAATAAGTAGTCGGGGTTGGGTACCAGTACAGCATCCAAGACAGCCTCTGCTCTGTTACAAATTAGGTTTAAGTAACCACAAAAAATGATTAGTAATAGTACGATACCTATCAACTTGATTCCCAGTCTTGGAGCCAGGATTTATGAAAAACTGTAACAAGAAAAAAACAAATTGAAAATTAATAATACTACATGGGCGTACATAGTTTGCATCCTAAAGTTCTTTGGGACCCCCCCTAAGTACCCACACTCCAGAAACAAAGAAAACAGGAAACAGTACAAGCCCAATTGTGTACACTTTCCCATGATTTAAAACTGTACAATCTTCCAATTACCGAAATTTCCAATGATAATCAAATCTAGCTTTCTTTTTTGGGTAAAATAGACAGAACCTTAAGGAAGAAACTGATGCAAATGCAACTCATCATTGATTCTCTATAAGCAAAATATCAGTGGTATCAAATCCACCATTTGTAACAAACCTAGGTATCAAATTAAAACATAAGAAAATAACTTAGCCACTCAAACTCACACCACCAGATCCAAGTTCTACAAAGACCACAGTACTCAATACTCAATTATGAAAAACTTAAAATAAGGACAAGGCATGGTCATTTCCTGGAGAAATTCATTAGAATTAAATTTTAGGTAAGAAAAAGAAAGAAAATATTCTCCCTTACACTGAAAAGTGCCTCGCATTTCCTTTTGAATTTCTCCTTAAGTAGAGCCATAAAAGCTCGAAAACAAGCACCAGTGAATACAAAAAATGAACAGCAGGGTTTCTTCCCAAAGCATCTCTCCGTCTGGGACAACAAACAACACCTAGAATACATATTTTCTATAGAATTCCATCCAAAGGGAAACCCCTAAGAATACAATTACCAACTGCCTAAGGCTTGAAGCAAAGAATGGCAAATAAAAAAGCCACCAACACGTTTCCCTGTTCAATCAGTTCAAGCTCGCTTAACAAACAAGCAAACCCGAGTACAAAGATTCCAAAACAAAGTTAAAGGAACAAGCTTGAGCTACAGACGAAAACCTCAAGTCCCTGCTTGGTCATCCAGAAAGCTAAGGGTAAAAGAAACAAAAACAAAAACAAAATATTGCACTTTTGGATCTTTGTTTTTTCACCAGTGATGTCAGCATCCCAGAACCAGCAAAATCGATTTAACTACACCAAATAGTTGCATGTCCAATTTGAGCTCAGATTTGGATTTCTAGTCTCAATAATAGGAAAAGAAAATATCATTCTCAGAGTGAAGTCTCACTTTTATTATTCTTATTTCATTGCTTCTCCCAACAACCAGACATTTACAGCAAAATCCCCTCTGTTTGGTTGCTGAGAAAATTCACAAAAAACAATCCAAGTTTTCAATTTTTCTTCTTCATTTCCCTTAATTGTCTCATAAAACAAACAAAGCCCACAACTTTTTCTTTTTAAAGAAAAAAAGAGCGAGAGAGAAAGGATTAAGAAAAAAACTCACCCCATGCATGTGAAAATGGCAGAGACCCAAGACGGAAGATATCTACAGCTTTTCATCTAGACGCGGCCAAGCTTAAACTTGTCCACCGATACCCTAAATCCACGAAGGAGAGAAACACACCTCACGATCCTGCGTAATGCATACAATTAGAGCTGGCAACAGAGCACTCAGATAAACACCAATTTAATTTCAGCCAAATTCAAACACAATCACAAATATTCATGCTCTGTTTGATTCCCAAGAAAAAAAAAAGGGAAATTGAAATCAGAGAAAGGAAATACAAGTTACAACCACTTTCAATTAAAAAAACAAGTTTTTATTTTCGAATTAATTTTCTTTATAATAATGGACCTGATAGATGGCATGGTTGGATTGGCAATTGGGTAAGGTCAGTTTCTTCTCTCCTTCATGGAAAAGCTGGCCCTCTGGTTGTCTTCTGATTCAACCAAAGGGGCACCCTTCGTTCTTCTTTCTTTCTTTAAAAACTCCCTCTTCTCTCTTTCTCTAATTATTCTCACTAATTTTATGTGTTTTGTGATGGAAGGATTATTACTTTATTTATTGGGAGGAAGGAGGCAAAACCAAAGGTTGCTTTGGGGTTTTTTTTTTATTCTTTCTATTTTCTTCTTGTAGGTTACAACCACTTGTATGAAATTTTTGATTTGTGTTGGTGTTGGGGGGTCCATGGTGGTTTTGATGGAATCCATCAATCATGCTCTCATAATCCATCTAGTTTTTTTGGATCATTATTGTTGTTGTATATTTAGATCCTTTTTTATATTGGTTTTAGTTGATTGTAGCAAGAACTCAATTATTTGATTGCCAACCCATTGTGGGTTTCCTGTGGATATGTACAATTACTTTTTTCTTGGTTGCTGCAGCATTGGATATGATATATTATATACTAAAGATTTGAATGAACCAGGACATTGACTTTAACCCTTGAAGTGGATAAGGCAAAAGAAAGTATCAACTAATCTATAATTCTATATGCCCTTATGAAAAGCACCTCTCAGGTATATTAAATGATATGTCCAAATATTGAAATTCAAGAGAGGAAGTCAAAAGTTTGTGTATGTGACACATAGCAAAATATGAGATTTTTATGTCTGTTTGATCTGTAAATCACTGGGGGAGTAGAAGTATGTGTTATTTTATCAGTTTCCTAAATTTTATGGTTTCTAAGATAAAGACCTCCCATGCTTTCTTGTCCATTGTGTTGACCATCATATGCAAGAAACCATCTGCAACAAACAGCCTCTGCCAACATTTTGACAAATGCTCCCAGGCAAACCCTTAATTTGAAATTATAAGGTATCTGAGAGAATGCATATCCAAAACAATGAGACCATGACCACTGACTCTACAGTTAGATCAGCAATCTTATCCTTGTTTGCCTGGCTTTTTTGGACTGGGTCCTACATTTTGAATACAAGCTTAGAAGCAATTAAATGAGGTTTTAATGAGAGCAATGATTCATGTATTGGAGGATGGTGATGATGATGGAGCTGTGGCTGGGCCTACAGTGGTGAAGGTGGGCATTTTGATGGCTGGTTGTCTCTTAGATTTGCATGATTGAACAGGAGGAACTGGAAAAAGGAAGGACATTTTTGGACTTTGTTGTTAAGAAAAGCAATGCAGGATCATAGTTGATGAACATTAAACTTTTATTTGGATAATAATTTGCATATGTTTTGTACAATTCAGGGACTTAACAATGTTGTTAATGACTAGTAGGAATTTACATCCAGATTAGGCATTTAGTAATAACACATCTTGAGCAGATCCAACTGCTAGGTTGTGAGGATTGGAGGAAGGTACTCAGATTTATTACCGAAAATTCGAGCCTTGGTATCAGGGAAATGTTCGAAGCCTGGCAGTGTTGTTAGATCTCCAGTCTTGCTTACTTCAACAGGGTAGCGAAGAAGGTGACCTGGAAGGTCTTGATGAAGTGTGGCGCTTGAGTAGAGATCCCAGTTTTTTTGGGCAATCTGATTTACTCTTCGGACACATTCCAAAGATTCTGGATGCGCGAAGGAGTTGTCAGGCACTCTAAGATGCTCAAACCATAGTGATAACCTGAAAGCATAAATTTGACCCCTAGCTGGGTCTGTGGTAGCTAAATGTTCAGGCTGGAATGCCCCCATAGCAATCTCTGAGTCCCTTGATCCATCCATGGACCTTTGGTTTATGTTGGCAGATCCAATGATTATGTATTCATCATCAACTGAAACAGGCACATGTTAGCAGACTTTCATTAATATGTATTCGAAATTTTGAACATGATAAATATTCTCTTACAATATATCTAATATGTTATGTTGCTAGAGAAAATTTCACTTTCAAACATGACGGAACTCTACAGTTATGACTTACCTATCATCATTTTTGAATGCACGTAAATCATGAAACGCCGGGCCTGCTGAGCTCTTTTATAATCAGTGTCTGGCTCTGGAGTCTCTGGAGGTTTATATTCTCCATCCTTCTCCATTTGCCGGTTGCCTAGGCAGAAGAATGTCAGATAGTCCTTGGGGTGTTCATTTGAACCCCTTCTCTGAAGGGCTTCAGAGATATCAGTATACATCATCTCCATTGTCCTTCTTTGCCAATCCAATATAGCTTGAACAGAAGCACTCTCAGGTATACCTTCTGGCCACATTGGGACAACAATGTAGACAGTGAACCTCTCCCCTGATTCAATTTTACTAACAATCTTTAGTGAGAGCTCCTTTGGTATAAGATGCAAAGCATTAATATCCTCATCCTTAATGTCTTTTGATTTCCAGCCAAATGAGCTTCCAAGGAAGTACTGATTCTCTATGTAAATGAAGTTTTTGGCACGACGAATGGCGTGGATATATGCGTCTTGAATGCTTCTGTCTATGATGTTATTCTTCCCACTCACAAGGCCCAGCTGTGTTGCTTCCAGAGGTTTCTCAGGAAAGCCAAAAGCAGCCCCATTGTCAATAGATCTGAACAACTGAACATTCCATGACTCCTTGACATTTGAGAACATATTTTTTAGTGGGTGAACTGTGATTTCTTCAAGCTTGCCTAGTGAAATTAAGAACCTTTCACCAACTTGCTTTTTCCACCTCTGCTCAAAGTTGTACAAGACATCCCAAGCAACAGGCCCTTCCAGTTTGCAATGAATATCATGCCAGGGCTCCCTTGGACCGCCTTTCCTAATCGAAGAGCCAGCAAAGTTTGGCTGATGGAAATCCTTCTTGTGAGTTGTGTCTAGAGTTGCAAACAAGGGATGTTTTGGCGTATCATATCTTCCATCACAAAGATCAATACCCCCAACAAAACTCACAATCCTTCTTTTTTGGGATTCTCCACCAGGCATCTCACTGTCAACTACAATTGTCTTCTGATGGTGAGTGAACATTGTTGCAGTCTGAAAACCCTGAATTATGCTTTTTCCAACATCAGGGTTCCGGGGGCATAAGAAGCAATGCACTTTCGTGTTTAGAAAGTATTCTTCGGTTCCTTGATCATGGGTTGTCATCAAACCATCCTTCTTCAGTTCCTCAACAGAAGTTCTGTCATCCCAAACAAGCAAAAGAACTGAAACACCCTCATTTGCCTTCCTCTTAAGAAGCTCCCCTAGTGTAATGTCATCTTTTCGCCTACTCGGGTCCCTCAACAAGGTTATTTCAGTGTACACAGACCACCCGGTTATGTAAATGAAGTGCCTTGCATTAGTGATCGCATCAAAGATGTCCTCCCAGCATCTCTGGGGCTCATACATAGGGATGTGACTGATAAAATCATTCGGGACATGGGAATCTTGGTATAGTGTAACCCTGCAACCCTCTCTTTGATTGAAAAATGTCCAAGGAACACCATCGTACTTGGGACTTTTAATCCCCAGAGACCAATGGAAGTCATCTTTAACACTGGAAAATTGCAACTTGACATGAATTCTAGAATTTCCATAGATGGGATTTCCATCTTCATCAAATATTTCAAGCCATCTGTCCACCGCATAACCCTTGATTATTTCTTCAACAGGTATATAAGCTCTTCCAATCAGAGTTGCCCCAATCAGATCGTTACTTTTGACAGTGAATATAAGGCTTGAGATATTATGAGCACAGTAGATGTGAAAGTCTTCCCTCCATTTGGGATTGTTGGGATCGTTTACCATTCTGGTCCGGCCAACCCTGGCCTTATCTAGATCAACTGTTGCATAGAGTTTGGATCCAACAATCTACAAAATATTTAAGGTAAATTTATGCACAGAAATAGATTGATCAGTAGTTTGGAGGAAAATGAGATTGACATTAATAATATACCTGTTTAGGGCCGCACAGCACCAACTTCTTGATTTGAGCTACAAAGATTTTAGGTGACTTTTGTGCAACGACAGAGTCAAAAGTAACGGAAAAAAATAATCAGGGCAAGAACACTTCACCAGAAAAGAATAACCACAAATTGTACAGACACTTTTACCATTGAAAGATGGTTAAAAAAAAAACAAACAAACAAAACAGTTTCAATTAGACATTATGCATGGTACTTTGGCATGACAGTAAAATTTGTGCAAACAAAAGTTAAGTTCAGCAGATTAATTTGCATGTCTAAACTGATCAAAGATGATGCACCTCACAGGACATCTTTTCATTTTTGCAGGAGTTGAAAGAAGATTTCAAGTTACAAATGATATGTATTTTCCATCAGAATCTTGTTAGGACTTTGTCATTAGCGCTATGCTCCATAGTTTCAGAAAGAGAAACAGAGTTTAACAAATTCTTGGAGATATGGTTGGTTGGTGACAACTTGGGGAAAGTGATTTTATAATTTAGTCAGGGATTTCATAAGCTTCTTTAAAAATATCCAGATGTAAATCATATGCAAATAGAAATTTTCCTTGGATGAAAATATCAGATGTATCAAAGTTTATGAGCAATCAAGCCTACAAAGAGAGAAACACATAACAAACTAATAGATTGTATGGTATTTGAGATCACCGATACACAAGTCAAACAAAACTTCAAGCTCGCATTTTCTTTCTAATTAAATGAGCCACTATTGTCTTTCTAATTCAGATTTTTGCATGATTGTTCTAAAAGCACCCTTAGAAAAGTCATTTGAGGCTTTATTGCCAGTAGTTGGGTTGGGAGAAACACTTTCATGCAACGAGGATAATACTTTTTCTATCCTAGACCAAAAACGCAATGACACATGGGAAGTGCTATCTCGTTGCAAGTAAGTTTTTCTAGTTGGGATAGATATATTTTCCGCCTCATAACTCCATAACTTTTTTTTCTGTTTTTGGTCCAAACCTCTCTCTACAACTTTACAACCATTTTCTACCCCAAAAGAAAAAAAAAATCAGATAAAAATCTTTACAACCATATCATTTATTGTTTAGGCTATCACTTTTGAAATTTCCCCTTTACATGGCTTACCATGATTCTGAGAAAAAGAAAAAGTACAAGCATTTTTCCTTGGTCAGTTTATACCTTCTTTTCGCTTAAAAGTATGATCACTTTATATGGATTGTAACATAAAACAACAAATAAATGTCACAACAAAACTTGCTGAAAGAAATAGGAACAAAACTAAAAAGTTTTCAGTTCATGTTAAAGAAAAAAAAAAGGCTTACCTTCCACAATAAGTGGAGCCCACATCCATTGTATAGCCTGTCAACCTCATATATCGTTGCCAAAAGTGTCCCATGAAGCAAACGCGGCATTGAATTTCACCTTCTCTCACTAAAACTCTTGGAAATTTGCTCAAACAGAGAGAGAGAGAGAGCTACAGAAAAACGAAAACAACAAAGATATTAGCATGCACGTATATATACATATAAAAGCATATATATATTTATAGCTTCAAGGAAAAGTTAAAGCAACATATAAAATGAAACAAAACTTTCAAGGAATACTTGGGAGATGTAAATGGTATTGCACAAAAAGCTGACTTTGTTGGAGAAAATTTGGTAGCTTGTTAGGGTTTGGAATGAATCAAATTATTATACATGTAGAAAGAGAAAAGTGGAAGAGGAATCTCGTTGATTTTGTATACGAAGGAAGGGATGTATCTGCAGAGAAGTCAAGCTAGAATCTGTTCCACCTTTGCTTCCATGGTGCCTTCCCAAGACATCACAAACCAATTCAATCTATGTAACATGCCATGGTGCGTTCAAATACTAATTGATTGGTAAGTTTATTTTGTTTTTTGAGTATAAGTGATTGAGGGAGGGGGGTACACAAATTCATTGGGTACCTGGGGATTTCGAACCTTTGCCCATATGAATGAAGGTGGAAGATATAAACCAACTGAGTTATATCATACCCCATTAGATAATCGAAATTTGACATATTGGTAAATCTAAGATGATCACGTTATTCTTTTGCTTGAAAGATTAAAAGAAATGGACAGGAAAAAAAGCAGCCTCTTGCTCATCAGATTATTTATTCAGTTGCAGTTTACAAATCAGCATGATAGGTCTGAAAAATAGAGTGTTAAGCCAATCATGTAAAAAAGTTTTCAATAATTCAACCCATGCTACATGATAATAGTCAGAAAATTCAACACCAGCAATAAATTTAGACATCAAAAGGTCAATAATTTAGAGACCCCTGTGGTCCTAGCGGAGTAAATAACAAATCCACAAGAGTCTTTTGAGTCAACCCCTAACCAAACACACCTTAATGCTCATCCGAGGAAAAAAGAAAGAAAAAAAAAATTGGGGGTGTGAAGAAAAGATAACTGTTGTGTAAATAATGGAAATAATAAATGCTTTTCTTTTGGGTGGGCAGAAGAGAGGGGCATAACAGGATGCTCATTTTTCCTTTGGTTCCAGTTGTCAAGAACCTGAGGGTTGTGTTATAATGGTTTTGTGTTGTGCAGGTGAAAACTTTATTGCACTCTGTACTACATAGAGACTTTCCGACCAAAGCAAGCCACCGACAGTTCTTATAAATGTCCACATTGTACATAAAACTCTCTTCATCTCTTTGATATCCACCCAATATTATGCATACTTAAAATCCCGTCTCTGAAAACTCTCTATCTCTCTCTCTCCCTCTGAATTTTAATAACATGGTACAGTCCAGAAAGTTCAGAGGAGTGAGGCAGCGCCAGTGGGGCTCTTGGGTGTCAGAAATTCGCCACCCTTTACTGTAAGTCCACCATACATTTACACTTTTCCAACCGTCTAACAACAAAACATATCAGACTCTCTAACAATGGAAAGAATATGATAACTTCATAGCGTAACATGTGAGACTATCTGCATATTAATTATGATTTTTCTATCTGCAAAGATTTTGATCTTTCTTGATTTCTCTTTGGTTTTTGTTGTTGTTTGTGATTATTATTTAGTAAGAGGAGGGTGTGGCTAGGGACATTTGAGACAGCAGAGGCAGCAGCAAGAGCATATGACCAAGCAGCCATATTGATGAATGGACAAAATGCCAAGACCAATTTCCCCACTTCAAATAACAACAACAACAACAACAACAGCTCTGGTCAAGACACAAAGCCCACTGACCAAGACTCTCCATGGTCTCCCAAGGCACTTTCAGAGCTGCTCAACTCCAAGCTCAGAAAATGCTGCAAAGACCCATCTCCCTCCCTCACTTGCCTGAGGCTTGACAATGACAATTCTCACATTGGGGTGTGGCAGAAGCGCCCTGCCGGATCACGGGCAAGCTCCAATTGGGTCATGAGGATCGAGCTTGGGAAGAAAAAGAAACACATTTCTGATCATCATGGATCCATGTGCTCTTCATCCTCCTCCTCATCCTCCTCATCCTTTTCGTCATCGACGAGTTCATCAATGGTGGGATTGATTGAGGCTGGAATGAGTGAAGCAGATCAGGATGAAGAGGATAAGCTTGCAATGCAGATGATAGAAGAGTTACTTAATTGGAATTATCCAATTCCTTCAACAACAAGTAATGTTCAAGAAGGAAATATTATTTAAAGGGAAGTTAGGAACCAACCAGCTGCTTCAATTCCTAGCCTTTAATCAGTCCTTGAAGTTAAGCATAGCAGTAGTATATCAAATCATAAAATGCCACCTCACTCTTGTGTTGTGACTGGTAACTGGGAAAATTGTATAAAGACTAATTAAATTAAAACCATTTGTAGATGCTGGTCAAGGTTTGTGGTTGGTTGTAGCAAATACTTGTCTTGAAATAGTAAAATGTAGATAACTAAGCTCATCTCTTTCTGCGGATTTGGTTCATTTCAGCATACTTTATAATTTATAACTTGTTTACTTGCTAATTTGGTAAATATAATAATTATACTTTCACTTTATCTTGCATTAATGACCCAAATATGATGAGAAAAGACAAAATGCTGATAGCATCATACCATGTTACTGTTCTGGTGTGGTTTTTAATTTTTTTTTTTTTTAATGAAACAAGAAAAACACAGTAACATTGGGCCCTATATGCATCCTTTTACAGACAAATTCAAAAATAATTTGACATATTTACTTCATATTTTCCATATATAGGAATGTTTATTTTATCTTTTTGGCCAAATCCTAGGACTGTCATAATATCTTGATTCTCCACTAGGCGTCGTCGTGTGTCTCAGATGATTGCTGTATAAATTACAGTGAGAGTTTTCAGGCAGAAAAAAAAAAACACAGCAATTGGAATTTCGTATTATATTCCAACAACAAACGAAAAAAAACCTGACATTTTATTTCTCAGTAAATTCGAACCTAGGACATGCCAACCTATATTTTTTGTTTTGTTTTAATGCATCATATAGAATTTATATACTTTTTTATATTAGATGTTGCGGGCATGCCTATCTCAAGGACACTCACAAAAAGGTATAATAATAATATATTATTATTACCATAAAAGTGCTCACCATCATGGTAGTTCCGTGCTATGCTGCATGCCTAGAACATGAAATGAATGAAATTTTTGGAATGAAAAAGAAACTTATACTTGATTATGCTTAATTATATTGAAAAGAACATCTCTTGATTGTTTAAGCAATTTTCACATACCCATCATGCTTTGTTTCCACATCAATAGAATCAGCATCAACTTAGCAGACATCACATATCAAATCATACCAAATCCTCTCTTGAACTTATTTTTAATTTGAATGAAAAAAAAAAACCCAACTTTAATATTTCCTTAAACTTTCCTCAATTTGAGAGATCTTTGATCACAAAAAAAAAAATCATATCAAGTTGGATTACTTTAGTTCATGAAAATCGCAGAACCGGAATTGAATTCTCGTCGTGAATGTAAGCAGAATGATTTTGAAGTTAACTTACTGCCAATAATTCAAGAAGTAATAACAAATTAGAGTATTGTTGGACCAGAAGATAAATAGATGTAGAGCTTTCAAGAGGGAGAAAAATAGGAGGAACACGTCATGTGGTGTGAATTACAACGAACTGAGACCACATGAGTTGCTCCTTTAGTGTCCGTACGATTGAGAGGCCATGAATGTGAAACTGACCTAATCGTGAAGAGAAAGCCCTCTCAGTAGTTGGGTGATCAATGCTCCATACATCAAGGAGACTAAAAGCCCTTCATCTACATACACTTGCTATCTGAGACTCTGAGACTCTGAGAGAGAGAGAGAAGGGACAAGTTTTCATTGCAGGATTAATTTCGGGGCATGTGATTATCAAATGGGGCAGTTGATGGTGGATGTGACAGTGACAGTGACATATAGAAGATTTTTAGTTGTGATTATCGTTCATTGTTGTCGTGGATCCCTCTCAAGTCTCAAAATGGAATTGATCTACCTCTGTACACCATATCAATCCATTTAGAGTATAATACTGTAGCTGACGTAGAATACTTATTTATACATTACAGTGAAGAAACCCTTTGAACAATTTGATTTTTGCCAAATTAATTTTAGTTTCCGACAAAACCCAAAAGCGAAATAAGCTGCATTTTCATTTTCATCTTCATGGACATTAATTTTGCTATGAAATCCATATGGAACTCCTTGGATCCTGGAGGAAAACAATATTGAAACCCATCAAAGAAAAGAGAACTGAAACCTTAGAAGAATTTTTTTTGCTAATAAGGAATTAAAGGACTCTAAGTAGAAGCTCATGCAATTTCAGTTTATTCCTGAAGATTCAAACATGGGTAGTGATTAATGGATCTGACAATTAGGCTTTGAAGATTCAAAGGAGCAAAGAAAAATGTTTTGCAGTCAACCAAAAGACATTTAATTGCAAGCAAGCAATAAACTTATAGCTTCAAATAAAGTCATACTTTCAAAGGAAAATCCAAACAGAAAATGAAAGATAAAAATGGACGTAATAAAATGGCAGAATGGCCTTGTCACCATGAAGTTTCACAGAGAGCAACAGGAGACACAATCTCAATGACTTCAAATGCTTGTCATATCCGATCAGCAAGGTACCTCTTCAATGAGTTGATTGGCTTTGTAGAGTCAATATGTTCCACTCCGCGGCACTTAATCTTGATTCGGGCAAGGTAATCAGCTGCGATCCATGCAAAACTCAACATCACCACAACATCTCCAGGACCATCTGGCTCTTGCAAAGGCGGTGATTGTTTCACCCATTTAGGGTGGTAAGTTACCTGATACCATGCTGAGGCCTTCTTCTCACACAATATATTCTTCTCATCATCAGTAAGAGCCTCCAAATTTGAATCCAAGTTCTCAAACATTTGCCTAAATTCTTTTTTCAGAGCATTGTAAGAATGACTCAGCCGCTCTTTCAGCTCCCCTTGCTTCTTGCTGTTGGATTTGGGGATTGACCAAACATGCCCAGTAACTATCTCTTCTTCCCTCTTGACTTTATATTGTCCCATTAGACCCTTCAGCTGACCATCATACGAGCACTTTTTCTCCCATGCATCAAATATAAAATCAGCCGCTCCAGGAACCTCAAGATCCATATCATATGGGATGTCACTGGGAACATAATGTAGCTCAGAAGTGGTTGCAGCATCTTCATCATACGCATCTCTAACCTTGCGATAGAGTCTCCCCAAAATTTTAGTTGACTTGTATGACTGGTTGTCTTCTTTACCCAAGAAATCTGGGTACAACCTTGGCTTTAGGTGCTGTGGTAGGGTAACAATCTTCCCAGTTTTCGGAAAATCAACTGCTAATGCTGCTAACTCAGCTAGTTTAAGGCAGTTCTCATCCAAAGCCCCATAATCACTGCGGTCAGCATGAACCACATGTGCATTGCATATCGGCCCTAGGTTCTCATTCGTCATGTTTTTCACAAAAAAATCTATTATATCCTGTGGTATAAACACAACGACAGTAAGAGAGTGTCCGTGACAAATTGGGATTCCAAAATTGTGTAAACCCAACAAGGAAAACACTACTTATAATTAGACCTAAAACAAATACAGAACAGGTTATCAAGAATCATGGCTCAATTCTTACTTTATACAATTGTTCAGAATCCTACCACATTTATTGGTATGATTTTTCTGTGGATGTGTTTATTAAAATAATTTCTTGTGATCACACACCATTTGCAAGGAAACTTCACAATGACAACTCATGGTCATAAAATATAAAATACTTCTTGACATGCATCTTAATAGTTTAAGCTTTTAATAACAATGGCAAAGCCAAAACAAATTTAACATTGTATCAAAGAGGGAGATAAATCCTTGAAACTACAACCTCCCAGTATAAGTTGAACTCTACACTTTGGGCCGTTTAGTAGTGGGGAGAGGAACATGTGAGGGGAAACGTCAGCTTATAAGAAAATTGTAGTCCCCAGCTTACCAGCTTAGACTCTAATGATAGTAAGAGAGCGTCTGTGACAAACTTGGGATTTCAAAATAGTGCAACCCAACAAGGAAAAACAAACGATTTAGAATGTAAACCTATATAAATGAAAACAAGTTACCATGAATCATAGCTTGATTCTTAATTTAGACAATGGCTCAGAATTCGGCCACCTTTTAGTGATATGATTTTGCCATGGATGTGTTAATTAATAGAATAGTTTCTTGTACAAAAACCACTTGCTAGGAAACTTCATGATGACAACTCATGCTAATAAAATATAAAACATTTAGTGACATGCATTTTAATAATTTAAGCTTTTAAGAAACAATGGTAAAGCAACAAAACTTAACATGGTATCAGAGCATAAGATCCTGACCTAGAATCCTTAAATATAGGTTGAATTCTACATATTCAGACCTTTAGTAGAGGAAAAAGGACCATGTGCGGAGGAACATTATCATATAAAATATTGCAGTCCACATCTTACTGGCATAGACTTCTAGGATTAAGGGTAAACAAACAAATTTAAGGCCTGTATCCTTAATAGTACAGCCATAACAAAATGGTGGCATCTAATGCGTTTGCAGGAAATCTGGTAACAAAAGCTTACATGCTCCCACAGAGCATAAAACAAAATATTGTTGTATAAGGATAAACTAGACATGATTCACAAGTGTTAACGGGACAGTGTACTAACATTATCAACTCTACATGAAAATTCCTTAAAAAATAGGAGTCTGACATGCCTTATCCAATATAACGACACCACAATGTTATTTTATTAATAATCTTGTAGAAGCAAGCAGATAATGAGAAGGTTGCTTGTCTAAGAAAGAAAAGCATTCATGGAAAGAGAAAAAATAATGATAATCATGTTCCCAAAATTTAATATCATAGAATATAATAGATAATCACTAAAAATGGTAGATAAGTACCTGCTGAGTAACAGGACGCCCCTGACGTTTGGCTTCTGCAGGATCATACTGCATAGGCATCCAGCTCTTCTTACTTGGAGGAATAAGATTTTCATCCCATGTGACAAAGTAGAGGTCCCCATCTAGGTCACTTCCAGAAGCTTCATCCGTGTGGGGCCTATCACCCTTTTGAGGGAAAACAAGGCAATCATATAAGTGGTGCAAACCTGGGGCATCAACTGCTTCAAGAATCCTTATATCTCCAGGATGAAGGCACGGATTCTTTGCTATCACAACGTATCCTTTAATCACTTGAAGATTCCTCTCTATCTGAGCAAAACTAGAGCCATGCTTTGCAAAACAGCTCTCTAGCGATGGGGTAGACACTTGGACAAAGCACTGACCTTGCTCAAGTACTCCTAGCTCATCAAGAACGCCCATAAGCCATCTCCCAGAATGGACGAAAATCCTAGCCTTTTCCCTAAGGCCCCAAAGTTGTGCGGCTTGTATACAGGTTAA